TCTTAAAGTCTCAACCAGACTGAAGTATACCAGTGGTCACTAGATTTGAATTTTAAGTTTTAATTTTCAGAAAGTAGGGCAGGGTGTTGACATAGGATTGACAATTTTTCATTGTGCCAAGTAAGGACATTTTTAAAAAATTGCTTAATATCCATCTACTGTCCCAATATCCTAAAAGAAAAGTACTTTTACACCAGAACATATGAAGAATATTCTCAAAATAAAAGACTGACTTTAAATAGGTTTTTGTTTATGTTTTTTATTTCGTGGTACTTATTTTTCTTTTGCATCCCTGTTTGGCACTAGAATGTGGATTGTCATTTGGGATACATTGATAGGTTTATCTATTAGTATTCTGAGAACAGGAAACCTTATTTTTTAATTAATTAGCCAAGTGAATAAGAATGTTCTGTGAATCCTTTTAGACTCCCGCCACCCCCTGCCACTATAAAATGGTCATACTATTCTTTCATATTGTAAAGATAATTAAATGGCCATTTCCTTGAATAGTTCCCAAAGACCTTATAAAAATAAGCTCCAGTGTACTGCTGTAGCTTTTAAAAGCTTTTAGCATTTTATTTTTTAATTTTAATTTTTATTTGACAGAGTACAAGCTGGGGGGTGGGGGTAGGGGAATGGCAAAGAGGGAGAAGCAGGCTCCCTGCTGAAAAGAGAGTCCAATGTGGGGCTTGATCCTTGTACCCTGGGATTATGACCTGAGCAGAAGGCAGACACTTAACTGCCTGAGCCACCCAGGCACCCCGGTTTTTGGCATTTTAAATTTAATGACAACTTTGTTATTACTGCTAAGAGGGTTACTGTGAAACTATTTACTGCTAATAAACCATTTTTTATTATAACTGTCTCAAGAACATATGCTGCATTTGTTGAAAGCAGTATTGTGTTATCTTTGATTTGATTGCTGTAAACTTTAATTGGTCTCACTATAGACTATTGTATATTTTCATAGTATTTGTGGAGGGAAGAGTAAGTTTGTTTTCAGGGTATGTCTGTTTTCATTCACTCTTGATTTTCTCTTCTGCCCTGTCAACTACCTGTTTCCCCTCCCGAAAACAGTTTGCTATTTCTTACAGTCTGTGTCAAAGCAGGTTAGACGATAAGCTTATACCATCATCATAAAATTCTTGAAGTTAAATTATATATGTATTCATAGAGAACCTAGAAAACAAAATGCAGTCTGATTCTTAGTTATCTTTTTTAAGCCTTTTTTATTTTGAAGTATAACACAAAAAAATGTAAGAAACCTGGATATATAACCAATAAGTTACGACAAACCAAACATCCATGTAATCACCACCCACAGTAAGAAATAGAAAGTTGTTTGAATTCTAGGAAGCTCCTTTATGCTCTCTTCCAATTATTACCTGCCCCCATTCATGGGTAACTACCATTGTAACTGCTTACACTGTAGCTTTGTAGCCTTTTATTATTTTCTTTTTTTTTTAAGATTTTATTTTATTTTATTTATTTTTATTTATTTATTTGACAGAGAGAGAAATCACAAGTAGGCAAAGAGGCAGGCAGAGAGAGAAGGGGAAGCAGGCTCCCTGCTGAGCAGAGAGCCTGATGCGGGGCTCGACCCCAGGACTCTGAGATCATGACCTGAGCCAAAGGCAGAGCCTCAACCCACTAAGCCACCCAGGCACCCCTAAGATTTTATTTTTAAGTAATCTCTATACTTAAGTAATCTCTATACATAGGGCTTGAACTTAAAACCCCAAGGTCAAGAATCATGTGCTTTGACTGGCTGAGCCAGCCAGACGCTCCCCTTCTCTTATTTTCTTAATGCCTCTGTGATCTGTAGTGATGTCCCCCATTTCATTCACTTATAAGTGTCTTTTCTTTTTCCTCAGTAAATCTCATTAGAGGTCGGTCTTTGTTATTGTTCTTTCCAAGGAACCATCTCTTGGCCTGGTTATACTTCTTTGTCTTGATAGTTCTCTGATGCTTTCAGATAGATGATTTTCATATTTTGTCGTTTATTTGACCTCATGGGATGATAGTTTGTCTGAAATTCTGTAGTTTGTTATAAATAAATTCTTCTAGGTATCTGTTTACAATTGAGATAGTGTTGAAAAGGCTTAGATGCCCTTCATTTAATATTCTAATATTAACGTAGCAACTGTTATTATATTCTATACACTGTGCTAAGGGCTGGGGTCACTGTGATGAATAAGAAGAGTTTTGCTCTTAAGGTGACTGAGTGCTGTGGAGGAGTTAAGCACTTTAGGTACATTGTTGTAATGTGCAATTTAGGAGAATGTATACAGGAGGGCCCTGATCCTCGTTGATCAGGAAAAACCTCTTGGAGAAGGTAATGGCTAAGCTAAATAAAGAATGCATAGGAGCTAGCTTGACATAGAGGTACTGTAGGGGGTGTAGAATAATGGATTATAGAAAAGTCCAGAGAGCCTGTTGAATTTCTAGAATTATCTGTAGGACTGGATTAAAGAGAAGAGTGTGAAAGAGAGGATAGGAAAGTACAGAGACCAGATCATAAAGGACTTATTGCAGTACTGAGAATGGCTAGAAAAGGGAGAGCAAAATTTGTGGAAGGTGATTACGACATTACAGACTTAGAATAGCTGTAATGGATTGGAGTAGAGTAGCAGTGGAAATGGAATCTGATATTTAGGAGGAAACCTAGATCCTGATTGTAGAAAATGGAAGAAAGAAGGAATAACTTGACAATATGGGTGCCATTTGCTGAGGTAGGGAACACATGAGCAGCAGATTTAGGAAGAAAATTAGGGAGTTGAGTTCTGGATTTCTTTGGTTTGAGAGCAGATGGGAGAAACCAGAAGTTGGCATGTGATTGAAGTTGATGTGGGACAAGAAAGAGAATTTATGTATGCAGTGTGGAGCTGATATAATGAGACCTGTGAGTGGAGGGAGTGTAATCCTGAGCACTCAGGAGGAGGAACAGGAGAAAATGGGGGACAGAATAGGTGTATAGGTTAAATGTATGACATGTGAAGTTGCAGGATGTCGACAGAGTTCCTGTTAGATTACTTTTTTGTTATTTGAAGTACTATGCTTGGTCATCTACTGAGAAATGATGGAGGTAAGGGTTCGAGAGATTTGGGTAATGTGGAGAAGGATTGAAAAAGCTTCTTGGAGAATGGAAGAGGGACAAGAGTAAGAAAATATTTTCCTAGGATGCTAGATAGGAGTGAGAGCCCATTTGAGAACAGAGGTAGAACATTTGTAGCAACATCAAAATGTAAGTCTTAGTACTTTTTCTACAGCCCAATTCTAGGACATGTAGCCTGCTGAGTTAATCAAGGCCTGGCTTACAGAAGGGAGTTGAAAATACTGACAAAGAGTGGTTCAAGTGATCTTTGGCTGCATGGGGTAGAAGAAAGTGAAGGGATTTATTAGGTTGATGAAAATTGCAGGGAGAAGAGACTGAAGGGCTCAGTATGGGCAAAGTAGGACAGAGGAGTATTTGAGGGAAAGCTCGAAGGTGAGATACTTGGTTTTTTTTTAAAGATTTTATTTATTTATTTGACAGAGAGAGAGATCACAAGTAGGCAGACAGGCAGGCAGAGAGAGAGGAGGATGCAGGCTCCCCGCTGAGCAGAGAGCCTGATGCGGGCCTCGATCCCAGGACCCTGGGATCATGACCTGAGCTGAAGGCAGAGGCTTTAACCCACTGAGCCACCCAGGCGCCCTACTTGGTTTTTTTTTAACTTGTTTTTTTTAACTTCTAGATTTTGTTTTTAAATGAAAAACAAACTATACAAAGAAAAGTTCACTCCTACCCTCACTGGCCAGTTTTAAGAGTTTAATGTGTGTCTTTCTCTAAATAACTTGAGGATTTTTGTTTTTTTTACAGAAGTGAAATCATTATTAACATATTCTTCCTGGGGGCGCCTGGGTGGCCCAGTGGGTTAAAGCCTCTGCCTTCGGCTCAGGTCATGATCCCAGGGTTCTGGGATCGAGCCCCACATCGGGCTCTCTGCTCTGCAGGGAGCCTGCTTCCTCCTCTCTCCCTCTCTCTGCCTGCCTCTCTGCCTGCTTGTGATCTCTGAAATATTCTTCCTGTATCATGTATATGCTGTCAAGTCATTACATAGACTGTCACTTTTTTAAAAATTTGAAAATAGTTGACACAATGTTAATGAGTTTCAGGTATACAATGAAATGATTCAACAACTTTATACATTGTGCTGTGTTCACCACACGTGTAATTACCCTCTGGACTCTCACTTAATAGATGCATAATATTTTCTAATAGGAGTATACTATAATTTAATTAACAGTTTTATTGACAAACATTTAAAGTTGACCCAATTTTGTGAGTAGAAAAAGTACTGTAGACAATACCTTTATACATGTATTTTTATGTATAATGCTTTTATTTCTGTGAGAGAAATTCCTCAAAGTTGCATTATTTGGTCAAAGGCTATGCGCGTTTTTAAAGCTTTTATTTGAAGCATAACTTACATTGAGAAAAATATATAAGAGGGCGCCTGGGTGGCTCAGTGGGTTAAGCCTCTTCCTTCGGCTCAGGTCATGATCTCAGGGTCCTGGGATCGAGCCCTGCATCAGGCGTTCTGCTCATTGGGGAGCCTGCTTCCCCCTCTCTCTGCCTGCCTCTTTGCCTACTTGTGATCCCTCTCGCTCTGTCAAATAAATAAATTAAAATCTTAAAAAAAATATGTAAGGGTACATTTTGATAAGTTTCTGTTGGAAGGTGGAAGGAAGGACTGTATAGTATCCTCCACCTGAGAAGGCACTTAGGATTGAAAAACGCAGAGGCAACTCCATACAGTTTATACAGAGTTTTATTCAGGGTAACTTACAGGATCGGTTTGACGACTGTCTGGACATCTGTGCAGCTTTTCTCTGAAAAGTCCATATCTTAGTCTAGATGTCACAGAGTGAGGGTACACGCAGGAGGGTATTGTAGTGAGATCAGAAGGCTTGTGCGCACTTCATTGACAGCTAACCTTGAGGCGCCATCTGTGCTTCAGAAGAGGGAAAGACTTTTATCTCTAACAGACTCGTGGGAGTCCAAAGCAAGTCTCCTTGGAGGGTATTTCTAAGGTATGTATATTAATCTCCAAGGAGCCAGGAATACATAACCATAAGACAGGTGATTGAGCAAGTGGATGTGAACAAGAAGGAGAGCTAAAGATAGAGCGAGTATTGTTAACTCTTCTATAGTTTCATAGAATAAACAAACACACCTAAGTATCTCTCTATGTTAGAGATAGAGTATTGCCAGCACCCTCAGAAATCCTTTTCAGGCCTCCTACCAGTCAGTACCCCTATCTCCAACAGTAAAACAAAACAAACCTTGGGGGGAAAAAAATCCCTAATCTATGATTAACTTACTTTTAATTTTACCTAAAAGTAAGTTTGGATCTTTATATGAATGGACTTACACAAAGTATCCTGTTGAATGTATCATTTCTGTGAAAATTAAAATTACCCAACACTAGTAAATACAAGATATTTATGATTTACTAGTGCTAATGAGGCCAAAACATGGAATAGGGAAATTAGGGAAATACTTGGAATAGAGAAGATGACTTTGCTACAGTCATAGCTAAATGATGGGGAATGACTTGAATGTTCTTGAGTCAACCCTTATAAGCAGTACAGGATAGTAGGTAAACCCAGAGCTGTGCTTCCAAAGGAAAGGATTTCTTTTTCTTTTTTTAATAAGGGATTAATTTGTGTACAGCAAAATTCACTCAGTTTGGCAAACATTTCTTTGATGAATGTAGTCATGAAACCATCACCACAATACCCATGTTCCCCAAACTTCCCTTGTGCTCCTTTGTTAAATAACCCTTCCACCTCAGTCTCTGGTGACCACTGGTCTGTTTTTTTGTCCCTTAGTTTTGCTTTTGAGAAAGTTTTTTAAAGAGGTTAGAGAAGTTACTGGTTGGAACAGCACTGATAGTGTGAGAGAATAAGCAAGCAGGAACCCTTTGAGAAGGCTTTGAGGCAGCATTGTAAAAGGAGAAGCCCAGTTTCAGTTTAGGAAGGGAAGGGACATTTACTCTTAAGGAATAATTTAGAGAGCTTGTTGGAGAAGCTTGGAGGAGGAGCTGGCAGTAGGAGGCTATCACCTGACTATGTAACCTCTTTTCTGGATTTTTCTATTTAACAAGAACCATTTCCTTTCTTGAAATTTCCTTTTTTTTTCCTTTAATGACAAAACTCTTCTTATTTTTCTGCTACCTTTTGATCTTTTTCCCTAGGGGCTTTTATTCCAGCTAGTTCCTCAAGTATTTCCTGAAGTTTCTATCCTGGCTTCTTAGTCATTCACTCTTAGATTTCATCTCCTTTATCTAAGCTGTGCTCTCTAATAGTCTAATCGTTAGCTCAGATTGCAAAACATCTCTTCTCGGCAGAAATAATTTTATATTTTTATATATATATATATATAAATACAAATATAAATTTTTTTTTTTTTAAAGTGTGAGCATGAGTGGGGGAGGGCAGAGGGAGAGAGGAATCCTAAACAGTTTCCACAACCAGCAAGGACCCCTACATGGGGCTTGAACTCACGACCCTGAGGTCATGACCTGAGCCAAAATCAAGAGTCTGACGCCCGAGGCACCTGGGTGGCTCAGTTGTTTGGGCAACTGCTTTCGGCTCATGTCATGATCCTGGAGTCCCGGGATCAAGTCCCACATCGGGCTCCCTGCTGGGCCGGGGAGTCTGCTGCTGCTTCTGATCTCTTCCCTCTCATGGTCTCTCTCTCTCTCTCTCTCTCAAATAAATAAATAAAATCTTAAAAAAAAAAAGAGTCTGATGCCCAACCCACTGAGCCACTCAGGTGCCCTGCTGTCAAAAATAATTAAAAAAAATAAAAACAAGAAAAACCAAAAAAACTATCCATTTAAAAAATAAGCAAAAGACACTTTGGAAAAGAAGACACCCAAATGCCCCCCAAACATGTAAAGAACTCACTAGAATGGCTAAAATTTAAAAGACAATACCTAGTATTAACAGAGATTGTAGACTAACTGGATCTCTCTCAGTGACCTGCTTTCAGGAGTGTAATTGGTACAAAAACTTCAGAAAGGTGTTAGTTTCTATTAAAGATGTAGCAATATATATCCATCTTTACAGATCTTCTTGGCTGATGATGGAGTTACGTCCCAGTAAACCCTTTGTAAATGGAAGATACAAAAATCTAAAATTCATTTAATACACCTAATTTACTGAACATCTTAGTCTAGCCTATCTTAAATATGCTCAGAACCCATCAGCCTACAGTTGGGCAAAATCATCTAACACAAAGCCTATTTTATAGTAAAGTGTTGAGTGTCTCCTGTAATATTCTGTTCTAAAAGTGACAAACAGAATGGTTTTAAGTCTATAGGTTGTTCATCCTTGTGATCACGTGGCTGACTGGGCGTGCAGTCACTGATGCTGCCCAGCATCATGTGAGAGTATCTACCACATACCAAAAGCCCAGGAAAAGATCAAAATTCAAAATTTGAACTATGGTTTCTACTGAATGTGTATTTGCTTTCACACTGTTGTAAAGTAAAAAAATTCTAAGTCGAACCGGTGGTAAGTTGGGAACTGTCTGTATGTATATCGTGTAATCTAGCAGTTTTACTCCTGGGCGTATACTCAAGGGAAGTGAGTTGTTATGTGTACCTTACTATGCTGTGTACAAGAATTATTTTAGCAACTTTGTTTGTAATAAATAAAAGATGGAAACAACCTAATGTTCATGAACAGTAAATTGGGTAAGTAAATTGTGGTATAGTAATACAGTGAACTACCACTACTACTACACAGCAGTGATAGAGAACTATGATTTACAAACAGTGTGGTTTAATCTCAGACATTGTTAAGTGAAATAAGCCAAACACAAAAAGGAGTATATACAGTGGGCAAAACTATTAAGTGCTCGTAACATTAGAATAGTAGTTCAATAGGGAACTTTCGGGGTTTGGGAAATGTTATGTGTCTTGATTTGGGTGGTGGTTACCCACGTCTATACATATATAAAATTCATCTAGCTAGACACATAAAATTGATATACTTTTCTGTATAAGTTACACCACATTTAAAAAAAAAAAAAAAGGGATAGGTTTTCAAATCCTATGTAAAACCATCCTTTTTTTCCCCTGACTAGTTATTTGTCCATCATTTCCAGCTTTGACCTTATTTATTTTTGGACCTTTTGCTATTTTTCTTCCCATTAACTCTCAGTATACATGTTTAAAAGCAATAGTAGATATTGGTAACACTAAAATATATCTGTCTCACCAAAGTTCTAGTCATGACCATTTCACAGTTACCAATAAATTAGATATTACTGCCAGTGCTTAGAGTTGTTACAAACTTTGATTTGTCATTAAGACTTGGTTCTTTTCAGTTCATGTTTCAGCCAGTGTCTGGTGTGTTTGTAGTGCCCTTTATCTCCCCGTCCCCCAGTTTATGAAGTTCTTAAAGTGTAGACAATAGAGTCTTTGTTTCTGGTCCTTAACGGGATGAGCTTGCATCAGAATGTAAATCAAATATACTACTAAGTAGACTGATTCTGTTCAGCAGTTTCTGGTTTTTTGTTTGTTTTTGTTTTTAGCATTTTCTGTTTTTAATCAAGACTGCGTTGATGAGGAAGCAGCACATTGACATGATTTTGTTCAAACTCCTTGTTTCATTGGAGACCAACACTTTCAGTAAACTGGGTTATGCTGTATGATGAGTTAACAATTTAATTCTGTCAGATTTGTAGTACATATTGATGGGGAAGGAGATGAGAGGCAGGGGTTATAGTGCCAATACTGTGGAAGGACCTTCTAGCATCTGAATTCCTGTACCATATATCTGGGATTCCTTTATGATTTTTGGTGGGAGGCAGAATCTGCTCGTAACTATAGACAGGTAGATTTGGCCAAGCAAATGCCACCAGTATAGATCGCAACTTAGGAGCCAGCAGAAAAGTGGGAACTGGCAGAATGTTGTGTCAGGTTCTTTTAAGATTGTTACCTACTAAATATCTTTTCATAGAAACATTTTCGACTTAAATTAGCCACAGTGGGTGTTTATTGCTTCCAAATAAAAAACCCTGGTTGGAAAAAAATAGTTAAAAAAATATTGTACTGTTTATTCAAAACTGATCACAGGCAAAATTGTTTTAAGTACACACAAAAGTTTTAAAATGTTTTAGACTAGACTTTGTGAGACATGTTGCAGACTGTAAATATTCTAAATAACAATTATTTCATTTTAGTGTTTGCATTTTAAAATTTTAGTGTGCTTATTGGACCATGTGCTGCTATGTATGCCTGAAATACTTGAAATGCAAATTTGGAGACACTTTGCCATCTAAATGCTTGGCTGGATTAAGCGCCTAATTAGGATGGTTTTTCAACAGGTTGGAGGAAGCATGCAATCGGTGAGTGCTCCTAATTAATTTTTTAAATCCAGACATATATATGTTTTGAGAATTTTTTCTGAGAACGTGAAATGAATTTATATATGACCAACATTTTAAATTCAATATGTTTATTTAAGTCATAGAAGTGAATCTTTACCTAGTATCCTAAGTACGGGAGTAACATTTTGAGTTAAATTGAAAATGTACCAGTATTCATGTAACTGTTAAAAGCAGTGCATTCGTTAATAGTGAGAAAAGAGATAACATAGAAATCATTGGATAAAATGAGACTACCACTTGACAACTCTGAATGTTGTAGACTTACTGAATCCCGTTATAACATTATCACACAACTTTTAAGGTAAAAGGTAAGTCATGTCTTCTGATAATACAACGACTATGTATGTGAAGAAAAAATGAGTATAATCTGTGTGAAAGATGTTCTGATCTTGATCTTATTTGATCTTATATCTTTTTTTAAGATCCAGTGTGAAGTTACTAGACCAGTAGTTGTGCCAGGCATGTCTTACAAATAATTTGTTTTTCATTTTCACACTCAATATTTTGCATTAATAATGTGGAATTCTGTTTTATTAAAGATACAGTCAGGTTACATAATATGAATATGGGTGTATATGTGTGTGTATATGTATACATATATGTATTTTTTTAATAATGGGTATACTTTTTAACGTACTACTTGTACTCTTGTTTTTATTTTGTGTCTTTTTATGTCTTGTTAAGAGAAAGTCAAACTTTGAATCTCTCAAACCCCCCCCCCACCCATTACATCTATTTTCTTTGGAGATAAAAAGCAAAGAACCAAATAAAATTACCTTTTTTAGTAGCTGCATAATTTTGATATTATTAGCTTGAGGATAAGCAATAGGAAAACGGTTTCTGAATTTAATAGTATTTTCATCTTTTTCAGTTACATTTTCCTGTTTTGAACTTCACTTAATGCATCTTATACCACCTTTCTCATTTGTTTACCATCATTTGGTTACAGAGAGTAGATTAACATTTTAGTACTGACAGTGAAAAATTTCACTTGCTTCCAGAAAAATGGGAAGCTCTTGTAATTTAAAATTCCCCCAATGTAAAGCTTTACAATTTACAGTTCTTCTTCTTTCCAATTTTAGTAAGAAATAAAATTTAAGAGAGGGGTACCTGGCTGGCTAAGCCAGAAAAGCATGCAACTCTTGATTTCAGGATCCTGAATTTGAGCCCCACATTGGGCATAGAGATTACTTTAAAAAAATAAAATAATTGAAAAAGAAGTATAATTTGGTGAAAAGATCATAGATCCTGGATTCAAACAACTCTGGGTCTGAAATTGGTCTCTGCCAGTTACTTTCTGCATGTACAAATTATAGATAAGAACTACTGCAGGGTTAGCGTGTGGATTAAATGACTGTGGATTAAATGACACCTAGTACAGTGGCTTGTATGTAGTATAGATACATTCAATAATGGTTAATTTTCTATGGTTTTGCTCTGTCATTCCCCCCAACCCTGGCCCCAAGTCAGGCGAATGTGACTAATGCTGATTGAGACCGAAGTGCAGAAGTTTGTTTCAGAAACAGATAACACAGTTTATTTAGCTTGTTCATTTAATTTAGCTTTGTTCATTTTGCCTTTCATCCATGTTCATCATGTTCATTCATGCCTTTTTTCATCCCCCTCCCCCCCAAAAAAAAAACAAAAAAAAAACAAACCAGGTAACAGCATCAACTTACTCCCTATATTGTAGAGTATTCACAATTAAGGCCCTAGCAACTGAAAAGACTGTTTTTTTTTTTTTTAATGTAACATAATCATTTTTTTTTCCTTTTCAAAGGTTTTATATATTTGACAGAGCATAAGCAGGGGAGCAGCAGGCAGAGGGAGAGGGAAAAGCAGGCTCCCCACTGAGCAGGGAGCCCGATATGGGACTCGATCCCAGGACCCTGAGATCATGATCGGGGCCAAAGACAGACGCTTACCCAACTGAGCCACCCAGGCACCCTCATATAAATCATCAACTTTAATCCGTTAACTGAAAATCTATATAGAAATAAGTTTTCTTTTAACATAAAGCAGTTTGATACTTCGGAATTGTTTAGTTTCTAAGATCTCTTAACATGCTGCCCAAGTGTAAGAAGGTATAGTCTACCAAGATTTTACTTTTGGACATCTGAAAATAAAACTTCTTTGCTCCCTTTCAGTAGTAAATACATATTTTCCCATTGTTTGATAATGAACTTAATACTATGTTTGAAAATATTCCAGGTAGGAACTGCCTTCATCCTTTACATGTTTTATCTGCTTAAAAAGAAAATGTGCAGCTTTGAGATTAGAGTTTTGTTTTTGCCATTAGAACAACTGTTTATTAGCTCTTTGTATTTTACTGTACACATCAGCACTGTAATGGCAGTCACTGATTGATTTACTATATCCAGTTCTTTTGTCTAAATTATGTATGTTCAGTAAAACGATACTTTGTTTTACAGGTATACCACAGTCAGAGCAAATACCTAATTAGTATTAGTAATATATTTCCAGTAATACTTAAGAATTGTAACTTTGTTTTCCTTTTGTGCTTTGGAGGAAGAATGTCAATGTGGCTAAGAGTTTAGAGTAAGGAAGAAGAGAACTGTGGAAAGTGTTTTCTTTAATTGGGGATTTTAAATTGTTATAGTTTCATCTTCCTGTCTCTAGCCTCTTTCCCCAACACACACTTCGAATTTTCCCCTGGCTCCCTTGGAGTTAAGGATTTGTATTTTGTTGTGTCTTAGACTCCTTGAAATTTTGATTAATGATTTGGACTTTATTCTAAAAAAATACCACATAAACACACAATTTTGCATATAATTTCAGGGACTTGACCCCAGAATAAAGACCCTTGCATTAATATGAAGTAGCTAATCTTGAGAAAAATATATTTATTTAGAATTGAATTTATACTTTTTCCTGCTAAATGGTACCTCTGAAGTAGTAATTTAGATTAAACTGGTCTATAACAGATGAATTACCACATGAAACTTGAGTACAGTCATCACGATGAGACAGATGATAGCTTCAGATTCCAGGCTCACACTTCAACACTTCTACAATAGCATTTCACAATGTTAAAAAAGAACAAATTGCTTTCTTGTTGTCATCCTCCTCCTTGCTGTCATCACTTTCAAACACTGTTTCTAAATGTTAGGGACTGTCATTACTAGACACAGACATGCAAACACACATGCACACATTCATTATTAGATTATTTGTCAGTAGTCATAAAGCAAAGCAGAGTTTTTCTGTTTAATAATAATAGCTACTTAATTATTTTCTAGTGGAATTGAATTCTTATTTCTTAATGAAATCCATTTGGTTAGCAGTGCTAGTTTTCTCCCTTCTCTCTAACATCTGAAAAAATATTAATGACAGTTTATCTTGAGAGGAAGTCTTCCCTTCTCCTGTATACCGACAAGACAACAGTTCAGCCACCAGTTAGGGAAGGAGATACACTTGGGCCTTACAGTCTCCCAGTGCACAGATGGTGACTTTTCAGTACCATCTGTTCATTATTTCTTCACAGCCATTTACAATTTCTCCCACTCCATGATGGCTGAGTAGAAAAAATGAAGTAGGACCGAGTTTTAGGGTTCCTGGAAGTTAGCAGCTCTTTACCGTCACTTTTTCCTAAAGTCAAGTAAAGGTTATGACTCTTCTTTCTAAATATTCTGATCATAAGCTTAGATAGACCCTTCTTCATATTTCTTGGTGCTAAGTGCTATTCAATTCATAAATAACAGAAAAACAGTGTTAGTCTGCTGTATATACTTTGAAAAAAATCACATAAAGCAACCTGTTTTTACTTCCTTTAGAATTTTGTATAAGAAGCCTAAATAGTCTACTTAGTCCTTAAAAGTAAAAGCTGAATCTTTGGCCACCTTTTCTTATAGAAGTCACCTGGTACTCTTTTCCTTCTGATATTAAGCAGATGGGAAGATAATAGTTGAAACTTAGCCCTGAAGCATGCATAGCAAGGAATGCTAAAAGTTGGCAGAAACATTAGTTCCTGACCTTGGCAAATCCTTTCCAAATTTTTCATTGTGAGTTTCTTGCCCTCTTCATCTCCAGTTAAGATCTTTGCATACTGAAGGGATGGGAGATTCACTTTAGATTCTGTAATTGTCACATTGTGATGCATAGTGTTCCACTACACCTACATCATAGGAGAATTTTGACTTGTGACTAAATACAAGATTCAGGAAGAGAAGGGATGGTATAGGTGCTATTGCCCTGTGGGTTTCTTTTTAAAAGATTAAGACCTATGAACATGTATAAGGTAGAGTTTGCTTAAATACTGTCTTAGAATTACTTGCCCATATTCTTATTTTGTCCTTGGCCTCTTATGTTGAATTTGTAAAACTGTGATGCTTCCCATTTTTGTCAAGTCCTGTGTTTTTCTTCTCGGTCCTCATGTGTTATTATTATTAGTCGTTTGATCCATCATTGGTGTGAATGATTTGCATTCCTCAATTACAGGTAATTCTCTAATCTTCACAGTAACTTTGCCTCTTAACATTCTTTGTTTAATATTCATATTTCAAAATCGATGTCTTCTTTCTAGTGTCCTATTTCCCACTCTGTACCATCTTTTTAATTTATATTTCCTAAGCAAGAGTTCAGTTTTTATTGGTTATAGTAGCCAGCGTAGGGTATAATACTTTCTGGACTCTCGTGGGTAATAGTCAGTGAAACTTTGAACATACTGATGATTTGTTAGGTAAAAGCTGAGGCATATACCAGAGCTATTATATACACATCCCCATGAACTTCACTTTGAGCCCTACTGTTATATCTAAGTGGGTTGAGTTGCGAAAATCTAAGAAGTCAGATTACTTCTATGCCCCTTTTACAAGTTGTGCATGCTTTTAGAATGGTTTAAAAGTCTAATTTGGATTATTTGTTGGAGCCACTGCTGTTTACAATAACATTTATCCCTTGTTTATACTGCATATGTTACGGTAGTTCCATTCCTTAAATTAGAACGGCCATGGCATGACTAAAAAGGGTCAATTTCTATTGCTCAGAATTCATGCCGCTGATTTGGTATTACTTATTTAGTTTTAGAATATAATTGAATGTAAAATTTAATGAATTAAGTGGTCATATCATTCTTACTCTTTTCTTTTTAAATTGCTTTTAATAGCATACCACCTCTCTGCCTTTCTGTCCAGGCTTTCAAGTGTAGCACTCAAAACAGATGGATAGTTTTTCTCTTTAAGGAAAAATCATGTACTTGGGGAGAAGTTTCAAGGTACTTTATAATGATTTAACATTCTACATGTGTGTGTGTGTTTTTTCTTTCTTTTTTTTTTTTTTTTGGTTTGCGTTTTGCTTTGGGAGTTTGTTTTTGCATAAAGCATAGCATAACGTCCTCTATGTATTATGATTTCATCTGAGGAATTTTGCTAGTTAGGGTCACCACAAGCTCATTTAGCCTTTGTATAAATTAGGAAAAGATACCTTTACCTTGCGACAAGGCCTCACAAAAAGATGCAGTGCAACTGGATATTTGGCCTACACTTAACCTTGACCAGACATTCTTGTGTAGCAAACAAAAGCAAAGTACCCTGAATGGTACAACTTCAGAATCTGAACTTTGTACTGATTTGGGTTTGTTTTGAAAAGTCCATTATAACAAAAGTAGCTCACAGTTTAAAAAAATTTGTGTGTATATAAAGTTCTAAAACTAAAAATATAGCAGAGGAGAGAGAAATCGTTTTCCTTTACAGAATAAAATGAAAACCTAATGAAAATGCAGTTTTTTACTTCAGATGTATTATTTTACAATTACTAGTTATTCTTCTGTGTTTTTTATATAATGCCTTACATTAAACTTTGTGTTAATCATAACCAGCTATATATATCCTTTAACTTCTAATTGAGAAATATTAGCTCATTTCCCGTAACACGTAGAGCATTCTGATCCCTTAATTAAAGTGTCAACATGTGTGCAATTAATTGTCCAGTGTTTTGTAGTACGAACTACAAACCTTTATAACTCTTGTAATTAAACTTTTGGTTTTTCCTACTTCCTCAGGTACTTTGGTCTGGGAAGCCATATGGTTCATCTCGAAGTATCGTAAGGAAAATTGGTACTAACTTATCTCTGATCCAGTGCCCAAGAGTTCAGTTTCAGGTACTCTATATATTTTGAAATTTCATATTAATATGTGCATTAGAAATACAAATAGGCAAGACAATTTTTTTTTTTTAAAGATTTTATTTATTTATTTGACAGACAGAGATCACAAGTAGACAGAGAGGCAGGCAGAGAGAGAGGGGGGAAAGCAGGCTCCCTGCCAAGCAGAGAGCCCGATGTGGGGCTCAATCCCAGGACCCTGAGATCATGACCTGAGCTGAAGGCAGAGGCTTAACCCACTGAGCCACTCAGGCGCCCTAGGCAAGACAATTTTAAAAGTAATTTTGAACCTTTCCCTCTGTTGATGCTACTGTCAGTAAAAGACAATAAAATCATAGTAAAGTCTTTCTAATTTTACTTCTTCTGTGAAGTGATTATTCAAGCTTTTAAAGTTCTTAAGACACTTAATCCTTCTTAAGAATACGTAGAATACATCTTTATAAAAGCATATAATAAGCCAAGGAGTTGTTAATTCCCAGGTGACCTCAAACATGGCCTTATGTTACTTAAGAAGCTTCAGATACTACCATTGTTTTCTTTATCATACCTTCTCCCTTGGATAGCCATTCTGTTCTCCTACTAGTTTATTTTTCGATATCTCTGTGGATTCCTTGTAAGTTGCTTTCTCCGTGCTTGGTTTAAAGCTTAGCATTAATTGTAGGAACCATTGCTTTTAGAAAGGACAGTGTCAAGACAAAGAAGTAATTGTTGTCTGAATGAGAGGATAGTGAAACCCTAATTTGGGAATACTTTTAAATGTACAGGTCTTAGAATTCTCTTATAGCACCAGATAGGGAGCAACTCTGTTCTTTGCTTGGAGATAAATTGTTATTTTCTGGATTGGGCTTTGTTCCTTATTGTTGTAATAGTGTTAGACATGTTCTTGTTTTTCACTAATTCTCTACAACAGTAATACTGCAGAATATTTCAGTTCACCATTTAAGAATGTAAACTTCAGATAGCTATACCAATTTTAAATAATAGATTAGCATATGAAATGTGGAAGATATATTTAATTCATAATTCAGAAGCTCAGAAGTGCCCCTGAAAGTTTATTTGATATTACTGATTTACTCATAAATCAATTCTCCTGGTAGATGGAGGTAAAAATCTGTTCCTAAGTAAGCAGTAGAAATTAGCATTTGTTCAGGTTGACTAACGAGATTGTTCATTATTGTGCTCATAATCCTGCTTGCAAATTGACTGGCAAAACCTTTGTACATCAGTCTAGAAAGTGACAGATTGGAATTTTCCAAGAAATAATATTTTTATCAAACTATAGGCTTTTGAAAAAATAATGAAAATGAAGAAATCTGTGGTGGTAACTCCCAAGCACAATTTCTGAGAATTCAACTCAATTAGACACAAAATGCTGATTGCTGCATTTGCTAGCTTCCTTCAAAATAAACTACGGTTGTTAACTAGGGCTTATTAACTTTTTTTGGATTGCTCAGTTCCATTAAAATTTTCTTTTTATCTGTTAATGTATCTACTTAACCTAGTTGCAGGAGAACTTAAGCATGGTCTTTGTGTTCATGTAGCTAGAGATATATAGAAGGACTATATATATATATATATGGTATATATATATAGAAGGTAATCTAGAATTTTTTAGTAAACATTTTTTAGTAAAAACCCAAATCTGCCTTGACAGTGAGCTGAAATACTAGAGCCAAGTACATTTTCTTGGATCTCTCCAAGAGATCTTTTTCTCTGTGTTACTAGTCACTTAAAATGGTATGAGCAGAATTAAGCCTATTAGGTTTAGTGCAGGAGCTGCATTTGAATAAAGATGGATAAACATAGGAGAGAGGGATAATGTAAGAGAAAGATTGGTGACCTACTTGAGAATGTAGTGAAAGGTAGAAGACATTTGTTTATAGTGAGAGTTTTATTTCCAGTTGGTTTTACAGTATACTGAGTCTTGTCTTTCTTTCTTTCTCTTTTAAAATTTTATTTATTTATTTGACAGAGAGAGATCACAAGTAGACAGAGGGGGAAGCAGGCTCCCCACTGAGCAGAGCGCCCGATGTGGGGCTTGATCCCAGGACCCTGAGATCATGACCTGAGCCGAAGGCAGACGCTTAACCCTCTGAGCCTCCCAGGCGCCCCTACTGACTCTTTTCAAATTCAAGATCAGTATTTTAAAAATTTTATTTATTTGTTTGTTTGTTTGTTTGTTTTCCAGAAATCACAAGTAGGCAGAGAGGAAGGGAAGCAGGCTCCCCTCTGAGCAGAGAGCCCAATTCGGGGCTCAGTCCCAGGACCCTGGGATCATGACCTGAGCCGAAGGTAGAGGCTTTAACCCACTGAGCCACTCAGGCGCCCCAAGATCAGTATTTTAAAAGATATTTTATTTATTTATTTGCCAGAGAGCGCACGTGCACAAGCAGTGGGATCAGGAGGCAGAGGGAGAAGCAGGCTCCCTGCTGAGTAGGGAGCCCAACTGAGACTTGATCCCAGGACTCTGGGATCATGACCTGAGCTGAATATGGATGCCCAACCCACTGAGCCACCCAGGCATCCCTGAGATCATATTAAAATGAATGTTTTATCTGCTACATATTTTAAGTTTGTATCTTTGTTATATTTTAAATACATCTATCAGTAAAGTAAGAAATGTGGAATTTTTAAAGACATGCAATTTAGAGTAATAAAGTTGAAAATGTGTTTTTGCTATTTTTCTGGTTCATTTAAGGATTTGATTGATATGGAATTTGTTTGGACTATCTAGGAGTCCAGCATGAGTAAATTGTATAGAAAGTCTGGAACTGGGGAACCACAGTTGGACCCAGAGAGTAGATACCATTATGGGGCCATATTCAGGAGACAAAAATCAAAATAGCTTAAACTTGCAAATAGGGCATTCGTGAGTCATTTCAGAAGCAGGAGTTAGATAGTCATGACCAGTCCCTCTAGTGTTCTGGGTAACTTCAGTCTTTTTGAAGATTTATCTGAAACTTGGCATTTTATATTTACTTCCTATATTCCTTTTGACTTTTCTTGCCATTTCTTTTCTACTGCCCACACTCATAGGCAACACATTGACTCTTTCACCCTCAGAACAGTTTTACCTCTGAATTCTTTTTTTTTTTTTTAAAGATTTTATTTATTTATTAGACAGAATCACAAGTAGTCAGGCAGGCAGAGAGAGAGAGGAGGAAGCAGGCTCCCCGAGGAGCAGAGTGCCCGATGCAGGGCTTGATCCCAGGACCCTGGGATCATGACCTGAGCCGAAGGCAGAGGCTTTAACCCACTGAGCCACCCAGGCGCCCCTATCTCTGAATTCCTATAAAGATTTTATTTATTTATTTGACAGAGATCCCAAGTAGGCAGAGAGGCAGGCAGAGAGCGAGAGGGGAAGCAGGCTCTCTGCTGAGCAGAGAACTCAATGCGAGGCTCCATCCCAGGACCCTGATATCATGACCTGAGCCGGAGGTAGAGGCTTAATCCATTGAGCCACTCAGGCATCCCACCTCTGAATTCTTAAGCTTCAGTATGGTTCCTTCTAGATCACACACAATCTTTTCACTGTCATCAGCTGATCTATGTGTCTGCAGATAAATAATGATAGGAAAGGTGGGCCTATTACTTACTGTTGTGAGGCTTAGACAAAATAATCCATGTAAGGCCCTGAATATAATAACCAGTACATAATTAGTGTACAGTAGAAGGGATTTTGTTGCTGTTATTGCTGCCTTAGTTGAATAGCAACATTGCTATGCAAGTAATTCAGCTCCCTGATTTTACAAATTGGATTTATAGAATCAGAAACTAGAACACAGGGTGCCTGGGTGGCTCAGTGGATTAAAGCCTTTGCCTTCGGCTCAGGTCATGATCTCAAGGTCCTGGGATCGAGTCCCACATCGGGCTCTCTGCTCAGCGGGGAGTCTGCCCCCCGCCGCCTGCCTCTCTGCCTACTTGTGATCTCTGTCTGTCAAATAAATAAATAAAATCTTGGGGGGAAAAAAAAAGAAACTAGAACACAGACCAAAACATTTATTTACACCTTCATCCAGTTAATGGACCCAGTGAATATTGGGGTAGGAATAGAATAAGGTAGTAAGTGTAAAAATGCATGTAAAAGCACTTAGTGGTTCTTTGCTGGGTTATTTAAAAAGACTTGTCTATAACCCCATAGCTTTTTCCCATACTTCATTTTGTGAGTGCTGGGAATGAGTTGGCTACTTTACACTCAAAATGGGATCTCTAGACCCTTCATATTTACTTTTTTTTTTAATTAAATTTTTTATTTTAATTCCAGTGTAGTTAACATACAGTGTTATATTAGTTTCAGGCATACAGTATAGTGATTCAGAAATTCTGTACAATACTCAGTGCTCATTATGGTAGGTATACTCTTGAATCCCCATCACCTACTTCCCCCATGCCCCCTCCCACCTCCTCTCTGGTACTTATCAGTTTGTTTTCTGTAGTTAAGACTCTGTCTCTTGGTTTGTGTCTTTTTTTCCCCTTTTGCTCATTTGTTTTGTTTCCTAAATCCCACGTGAGTGAGATCATACGGTATTTCTCTTTCTTTGACTGACTTATTTCACTTAGCATTGTACTCTCTAGCTCCATGCATGTCTTTGCAAATGCCAAGATTTCATTCTTTTTTTACAGTTGAGTAATATTCCTGTGTGTGTGTGTGATTTTCCTTACCCATTCATCTGTTGATAGCCATCTAGGCTACTTCCATAATTTGTCTATTGTAAATAATGCTGCTATAAAAACATCAGGGTGCATGTATGCTGTTGCATTAGTGATTTTGTATTTTTTCTGGGTAAGTACCCAGTAATGTGATTTCTGGATTATAAGTTCTATTTTTTAAGTTTTTAAAGAACCTCCATACTATTTTCCAGAGTGGCTGCATTAGTTTACATTCCCACCAATAGTGCATTAGGGTTCACTTTTCTCCACATCCTTACCATCACTTGTTGCTTCTTGTGTTGTTGATTTTAGCCATTCACATGGGTGTGAGGTGATATCTCATTATA